CAGTTCTTCTCCACTGTAGAATATTCTCTGCGATATATTCTGTGACTAGAAATACAAAACTTTCTTCACTCTTCTTTCCTTTCCTTTCCACTTCCTTTTTAAAAACAATTTCCCACTTTATCCAGAGCTATGGGTAAACAGCTCAATCTTGCTGCCACTTTCCACTTTCCCCCTTTCGCTCTGGCACTTCACAGACCTGTCAATTACCTTTTGATTTATCCGTTAGTTATAATCCAACACCGATTCTTTTGGACCTCTTTCCTGGACTCCAAATTCGATCTCCTCTCTCCGCTTCCTTCTCAAAGTTGTTTCGTCGCGTCTTTGGGCCAGCCTAGCTGTCTGGCTTCTTTTGCCCTATTCTTCGGGCTCCCTTCTTCACCTCCGGGATTGCACTTCCCATTTGGCTCCAAGAGTTCTTCCTCACTTGAGTGATCCCACCAGGATCTAACTTCGCCTCGAACGGCTGCCCACGAGCAAAAACCCTGATGTAGGAGAACAGATCAAGATTCTCCTACCTCGCCATGCCGCAATGTCACCGGAAATCCCTCAAGTAGTTTTTAAAGCTGTTTTCTTCCCTTGCCAATGTCACTCTTTTGTGTCTAGATAATGCAGACATCATTGCATTGCTGAAAGATATTCTGACCCCATTCCCTTTGGGTCTGCGATTGAACAAGCTAGAGGCCATGATGTGGGATAAATATAAGATCCAATTGACTAAGCTAAGCGTGGACCAAGGTTACAGGAACAGCCTTCAGTTGTTAGAAGCAATGCCTGAGATCATCCTCAGATTCCGCAAGAGGCCTTTCCGATGCCTTGTACAGCTGGATCCAGGTTAGTCTCTATATATTTAGCTGGGATCTTTGGGCTTTTTATTCAAGGATTTTATGTCTCATTTGAGATTAGAATTCCCCAGTTAGAAGTTCAGATAACATCTCAATTAGATATTGAGGTCATTTTAAATAATTTGACCCCAGTTTAATATTAGCCTTTGCCAATCTATCTCCTTCCAGATTTGTGGGACAAACTCTCTAATTTTAGGTAGTGGTGTTCCATATCATGGCAAAGCACCACCATGGTAAAGGAAGAAATATGGCTGGTGTAATAAACTTCAGGTCACACATTATGATGTAAAAAGTCTTAGGCTGGGTAATTCCTGTCAGTTCTCCATTAAGTTGGTGAGTGATCCAATCAGATTTAGTGAAGCAGGAAAATTGGACTTATTCTGGAGCCTTTGACTATCTAATTATTTATCTCCCTTGCCTCTTTTGTAGATGGTGACAAAGTTTCATACCGATTATTTCATCAGAACAGTTACATCCAGAAAAAAACGGTGATATTGCAAGATCCCCGAGAGTGTTCATCATAAAAAGAATCTTGCTCAAATCTTAGATTTAATCTCACGGTGAAGGTGGTTTAATCTCAAATTGAAAGTGGTTTAATTTCAAGGTGAAGTTACTCTTGAAAATGAATCCAACCTATAGAGGGCACAATATCCTTATTTTTGTAAGGTCTTGTAAAAAAATGCAATGTTAACCTAACATTCTGATGTTTGGTGTTAATAGCTAAATGAGATTGTATTAAAAGAAGCTTCGGAAATTAGTTCCTCAGACCGGAGCAGGCTAAATGTCTATTTGATTAGAATGAGGCATAAGAGATATCATGAATTATTCAAACCTTTATAACATTAGCATTTCTTTTGTGCTGCTTAAGAAGGGGCACCTGGCATGTGTTCACCTACAGGGTTCTTAGAAAAGAGTAATAAAAATTGTATTCTGCATTACATAGCATCCTTTTTATGAATTTATGTGTGTTGGTAAATCAATCAATCAATGAATGGATATGTGCAGGTGAGACAGCATGACTGGTGGTGCCAAGGACAATACCCGTAAGCATATTGATGTCTCCAGCTTTAAAACCTATGGAAAGTGAAGTATTTACATTCATTGCAGCTTTTCTTCCAGGGAGCAATAGAAGGCAAATTAGAATGTAATGAGAGATTGCAGAATGATCTCCAGTAGATGGCCAAGTGGTCTAATTTCCATTCCATTCTAGGCTGCTAAAGTGAATCTCTCTGTCTGAAAAACACTACAAACATAATTCTTGTATTCAAAGTAACCCCTGACCTGAGCATGCACACAAAGGCTATTTCTTCATCTAAAAGATGGTTGACAGACAGGGTTTAAGCAGAAAGAAAAGTAGCTTGAAATTTGAGGCCTGTGTTGTAGAAATACCAACAAGAAAAGGCTCTCTTTGTTGGACTTTCTCTGCAAGGATTACAGACTCTTGGGATGAGTTTTAGTAAGCATAAATCTATTTCCTAAAATTGCTGTTTGATATAATCGCATTCCCTTTCTTTGCACTCAAGAATCTCCATTGTGTATTTTCCAGTTATTTTAAAACACTAGTCAGTCAGGAACACTGGAGCTTTCTTAATAGAATATAAAATATAATAGATTTGTATCAAACTTCCAATTTAATTACCTCGTTCTTTTGCTCCCTCATTCTCTTTTTAGTTGGATTCAAATACTTATTAATCTGTTTTCCATCTTCATTGAGTCAATGAACAAAATAGTAAAGGAAGTTTTATTGATCCATAAAGAAAGGCATCTAAAATATCTTAACTAACATAAACCCTGCATTAGGGCCAATCAGATGTTGCAAAATGATTAACATAATTTGAAGTATTAACCGAAAGCCAACATGGATTTGTCAAAAACAGATTATGCCAGACTAATCTTATTACATTATTTGACAAAGTGACAAAATTAGTGGTCCAGAGGAATGCTGTGGATATAATTTACTTGGACTTCAGTAAGGCATTTGATAAAGTAGACCATAGCTTACTACTTGATAAAATAGAAACGTGTGGGTTAGACAGCATCACCACCAGATGGATTTGTAACTGGCTGACCAACTGCATGTACTCAATGTGTAGTACTCAATGGAACTGCATCTTAATGGAGTGCAGTGCGTGCAGTGCGATACCCCAAAGCTCTGTTTTAGGCCCAGTACTCTTCAACATCTTCATCAATGATTTGAGGGAATAGATGGGGAACTCATCAAATTTGCAGATGACACAAACTAGCAGGAATAGCCAACACTCCAGAAGATAGGCTTAAGATTCAAAAGGATCTTGACTTGGGCGTTAACTAAATGAAATTCAATGGTGAAAAAAGTAAGGTTCTACATTTAGTCAAGAAAAACAGAATGCTTTTTGTTTGTGGTACCTTGCTCAATAGTAGTTGCTGTGAAAAGGATCTTGGAGTCCTAGTGGACAATCATTTAAATATGAGCCAGCAGTGTGCTGCAGCTGCCAAAAATCCCAACACAATTCTAGGCTGCATAAACAGAGCAATAGAATGAAGATCACATGAAGTATTAATACCATTTTATAATGCCTTGGTAAAGCCACACTTGGAATACTGCATCCAGTTTTAGTTGCCATGATGTGAAAAAGGTGTTGAGGCTCTAGAAAGAGTGCAGAGAAGAGCAACAAAGATGAATAGGGGAGTGGAGGCTAAAACATATAAAGAACAGTTGCTGGAAATGGGTATGTCTAGTTTGATGAAAAGAAGGACTAGTGGTGTCATGATAGCAGTATTCCAATATCTCAGGTTGCCACAAAGAAAGGGGAGTCAAGCTATTCACCAAAGCACCTGAGGGTAGGACAAAAAGCAATGGGTGGAGACTAATCAAGGAGAGAAGCAACCTAGAACTAAGGATAAATTTTCTGGCAGGGAGAACAATTAATGGAACGACTTGCCTCCAGAAGTTGTGAATGCTCCAACACTGGAGATTAATCCTGTTATTCTATTCAAGTGTTTCATTCTTGTGCAAAGAAGGGATGAGGTTAAAAACAAATGTAATCTTGTCTCTAGATCTATGTATTATCTCAGAATTATAGAGAGTCCATTAAGGACAACCAAGCAGCAATTCTTTGCTCAGGGAAAAAATCCAAAATTAAAACATCCCTGACAAGAGGTTATCAAGTTCCCCTTGAATAGGGGTTCATTGTTGTATTTCACATCCTGTTAGGGTGTTTTCCTAGCAATTAAATTGGAATTTGCCTTCTTGTAACTGAAGGCACATCCCACACTTTGAAGAGGCAAAAAACAGATTGTGAGTTTCCTCAGACATTGTCACATTCCTCCTCAGTCACAACCATCTCTTCTCAAAGCTAAATGTATTCAGGTATCTCAGTCTGATGCTTCCCAGAACAATCTCTGTAGTTATCCTATTGTTTTGCCTTAGCATTTTTTTTGGCTAGAATTTAAGATGATCACATCAACTGTGGTTTTGAAATGGAAGGTCATGCCACTCCCATAAGACATTGGACTGTGGTACAATTAAGTCTTCCCTGCAAACACATCAAGGGAAGCTGGAAACTTATGGTGTGATGAAATGAGATGCTCAAGGATTGGGATTTGGGAGCAGGGCTGAAGAGTTGCAGAGAACCTGAAAGCTTTGCTCCAGGGGGATCTGCAAGGTATGGTCAAAGGGTCAAGATGGTAGACTCAATGATGCAATCAAAGCTCTGCCCATGTTGTGTTGTGGCTGCCATCTTGACTTTGTTGACCATAAACTGGGAACATTCCTGCTTTGCTCCCTGTATATACTCTATAATAGTGTTCGATGGACTTTAAAGCAGATTGCAAGGGGACTAGGAGGTCTTTCTCTTCCATTTCCATTAAATATTTATGGAAAGATATGTTTTTCTTCTATTTATTGGTTTTACCCAGAATCACTGGGTTTTTTTCTCTTTTTATTCCATTTGTGTCCTGAGATTTATAAAACGCGCTCCATCACTCCTCTCCAAATGCATTCCCCCAGAAACCAGTGAAGTTCAACATACTGACTCTGATCCCTTAAATCTCATTCTACTTTCTGCCTGCCTTCAATTAAATCCCATACCTTGATAGGAGAAGAGAGTTTAAAATACAATCTAAGGTAGATAAAGCAACTTCCTCTTTTTAATTCCAAACACAGGAATGCATGTGAAACTTCTGTTTTTATTAATGTGTAGAGGGGAAAGGTGGCTTAATATTGATTCAGGGTGTTTCAGCAGCTTCACCCCAAATGGTTGAATAGATGATAATCCTTCTGAGATGCATGCTGATTTCTACATCTTCCTGCCCCATTAAAAAAATTGTTCAGCTTGCTTGTTTGGCTATACAAACATTTGTCATTGTATAAACAGGAAGCAAGTTTGGGGCTTAATTTTGCAATGGCATCATAGGAAAGGTCATTAGATTAAAAAAAAAAATCTGTAGCAGAATGTGTCAGGAATTCCATCTTGTAATCAAGCTTTCATTCTTCCTTGCAGTTGAAGTAATCATATCTAATGCTTCCAGTTGCATTTGGGTTAACCTCAGATATCTCTCCCCACCCTCCACCTCCAATTGCCTCAGAACTTCAAAAGTAGTTCAAAATCTTGGCGGATGCCCATACTGAGGATTTGGCGGATGTCCCCAAGTCCTGGCTAGACCTATATTGGGAGGCTTATGGTAAAGTTGTCCTTGTAGTCTTCCTAGGGGTATGTAACCAGGGGACGGATTCATGCGCCCATGGACCATGTAAAAAGGCATTCTTGCTTCTTCTGGGACATGGCCAGATTCTCGATGTTTCATCAATTCCTTTGCTGGTGTAGCTTGATAGCCCCATTTCTATGAAAAAGAAAAGAAACAACATAATCAGATTTAAAACCAATGTTTGGGTCTATGTCTATAACAATGTTCCTCAACCTTGGCAAATTTAAGATGTGTGGACTTCAATTCCCAGAATCCTCCAGTTGGGGGAATTCTGGGAGTTGAAGTCCACACATCTTAAATTTGCCAAGGTTGAGGAACAGTATCATAGGCCCCTTTGGGTTTTAATAACACACTATTGTATAATTGCCTAAATTGCGCTGAAGTAAAACATGCAGGTAATCCTCAACTTATAAACACAATTGGGACCAGAATTTTGGTTTCTAAACAAGGTGGTTGTTAAATGAATTGCATCTAATCTTATGACCTTTTTTGTCATGGCTGTTAAGTGCATCATTGCAGTTGTTAAGTGAACCATGTAGTTGTTAAGTGAATCCAGATTCCCCCATTGACTTTGCTTGTCAGAAGTCAACTGGGAAAGTTCCAAATGGTGATTGTGTCATCCTAGGATGCGGCAACTGTCTTAAATACATGCTAGTTGCCAAGTGCCCAAATTTTGAGTACGTGATCATGCGGATGCAACAATGGTCATAAGTGTGAGTAGAAGTTGTAGTTACTTTTTCCAGTGTCGTAACTTTGAACGGTCACTAAATGACTGATTGTAAGTCAAGGATTACCTGTAGGTGCCTGAGTCTGTTTATCATACTAACTTTAACTAAGTTAACATTAAACATATGAGAATCAAATTTAGACAAACATTGAAATTCTCATTATTGTCAGAAGCCTGGCCAATGAAAAATAGCATGGATGCTTCTATGTTCTTCCCTGTAACTATTACCACTAAAAACATAATGATCAACTCTTAGATTCTAATGGTTATCTATTCATTATTCTAACTTATTATTTAGGTTTGTTATTCTAATAAATTCTCGGCAGCCCACTGACTATAGCTACTGCGAAGCATTGTCATCAAACGCTGCTAATAGCTGACAGAACAGCAGCTCCTCAACATGTGCAAAGTATATCTTAGCAACTTGCTTTTACAGATCTGGTGGGGTTACAGGGCTGGGTTTCCAGATCAGCCCGAGGAAGCAGATAATCTGTCTTCCCCATCTTCACTCATTACTGCTGCATTATGGCACAAAGGGATACAAAACTCCTTACCTGTTGAATGCTGCCTACCACACAACCTTCAAAGTACAGGGGGAAGTGGCAACTCTAGGTTTTGTCATACTCTGGTTTTCCTGGTTCAATCTGGGTGTAGCCTTGATCAATATTGACCAAAGGTGCTATGCTGTCTATATCTATTGGTTGAAGGTGGAGGCTGGAGAAAGGCAATATTATTAGATATCATTTTTTTCTGTAGGCACTTCTCAGAATTGAGCCTTCAGAGTGGTTTCTGGAGCAATTAGGGTACCCAAATTAACAAAGGCACTCCATTGTGAAGTTTGAATACCACCATCTGGCTTTTTGTGGTTACGAAGGCAAAATTCTTCAACCTCAGCAACTTTAAGATGGGTGGATGTCAATTCCCAGAATTCCCCAGCCAGCCATGCCATCTTGTAAGACAATACATGAGCCCAGCTAGGGTTCTATATAAAAGATATACCAGACCATATCCCCATGACCCTGGACATCCTTCTAATCTGTGGAGTTCAATTCCCAGAATTCTTTCTGTGGCCATGATGGCTGAGGAATTATGGGAAATTAAATCCCCACTTATGGAGGGTCTAGGACAACTCGCTACAGTACATGACAAACTACTCCTAAAACTAAAATCTTACAGTATCTCTGGACACCTGCATAACTGGATAGAAGCATTCCTGTCAAACAGACAACAAATGGTCAAAATTGGGAGCATCCTATCAAATTCTGTACCTGTCAACAGTGGTGTCCCCCAAGGCAGTGTTCTAGGATCAACTCTCTTCATACTCTACATAAATGACCTCTGTGATCATATCAATACTGCTACCCTTCAAAAAGACCTTGACTATGTATCAGAATGGTCAATCAAATGGCAACTTCAAATCTCAACAAATAAATGCTCTATCTTACATATTGGCAAAAAAAATCAGAAAATAAAATACAGGCTGAATAGTCAAGACCTTGTTGATGATCCAAGCTCTGTAAAGGACTTTGGAATACTCATCTCTAATGATCTAAGTGCTAGAGCCCACTGTAACTACATAGCCAAAAAGGCATTAAGAGTTGTTAACCTAATCCTACATAGCTTTTTCTCTGGTAATATCACCTACTAACTAGAGCATACAAAACATTTGCTAGACCAATGCTCGAATACAACTAATCAGTCTGGAACCCACATTACGTATCTGATGTTAATACAGTTGAGAAAGTCCAGAAATATTTCACGAGAAGAGTTCTCCACTCTACTCGTTGCAGAATATCTTATGCCACCAGACTCGAAATTCTAGACCTAGAAAACCTAGAACTAAGCTGCCTTCGGTCCGATCTAAGTATAGTATATAAAAGCATACATTGCAATGTCCTACCAGTCAATGAATACTTCAGCTTCAACCATAACAACACTAGAGCAAACAATAGATACAAACTCAAGGTTAATCGCACCAAACTTGATTGCAGGAAATACAGCTTCAGCAACAGAGTGGTCAATGTCTGGAATACTCTTCCTGACTCTGTGGTTTTTTCCCCAAACCCCAAAAACTTTAACCTTAGACTGTCTACTATTGACCTTACCCCTTTCCTAAGAGGTCTGTAGGGGGCGTGCATAAGTGTACCAATGTGCCTACCGTCCCTGTCCTATTCTTTCTTTTTTTTTCTTTTTCTTATATGTATCGATGTATTCATAACTATGTTTTTACTTATACCTATTATCTTGTAAGCAATTGACAAATAAAAATAAATAAAATAAAATAAATAAAAATAAACTTGTCAAGGCCTTCTTGCCATAGTCTTTTCACCGTCACCAACCTGTCTCAACCATCATGCTACAGTCACCTCGCTGTAGCCAATTTGTCCTGGATAATTCCATGTGAGATAATGCAACAAATGTTATCCACCACTGTTTCTTCGACATTATTTCCATTTTTCTCAATGGAAATAATGTCGAAGAAACAGTGGTGGATAACATTTATTGCACTGAGTTATCCCATGTGGAATTGTCCCACAGCGAATTGTTCCGCGGCAAGAGGGCTGTGGCGAGATGGCGAAGGTGGATTGGCTCTGGCAAAATGGCTGCAGGGAATTGGCTGTGGCAAGATGGCTGCGGCAAATTGCTGTGGTGAGTTGTCCCATTCCAAATTCTGGATTCTGTCTAGCCTAAGAAAAGCTGGTGTATAATAAAGCAACCCTGTTTTCTATGTGTAGCATCCCCCAAACCCACCCATGAGGTAATTGGCCTGCCCCTCAAATAATAGCAAAAGAAGACAATGACCTATAGAAGTATAGAGTATTATTAAAACAACTTTGTTATACATTGTCTAGCTCAGGGGTGTCAAACTCAATTTCATCAGGGTTGTATTTGACTCGGGGGGTGGGGGTGGAGGGGTGTCACCAGGGTGGGCGTGGCCTGCATGTCACTCGTGTTGGGGTGCCTGTGGTGGCCCAAGCACTCTGCCAGTGAAAATGGGCTCCTGAGCTCCATTTTTGGCTGCGACGGCCTTCCTGCAACCCTCTGCCAGCAAAAACAGATCTCAGGGGAGGGGGAACGCATGGCCCTCACAGGCTCCAGGGCAAGTTTCCAGGGCAGCCCCATGAGCCGTATCTAAGTACACCATGGGCCAAATCCAGCCTTGAGTTTGACACCCCTGGTCTAGCTGTTCAAAGCACTCTTTGTATAAAACACTGTTATCCCTGTTGTATTATAGTTCGGCTAGTAGCTGGAAAAGGTCTTTCTCCAATTTTGTCTCTCCAGGCATCCTAGATTAGAACATTTCAGACTTTTTCAATCTGTAAAACCTGTTAAAAGTTTCCCAAAACTCCAATCAAGGCAAAAGTTTAGTGATCCAAAATGATCTCTCCTCTCTCTTCCTTTCGTTTTAGAATACAGTTCAAAAACCCAAAACTATTCATTGAGAAATACCCCTCTATAGAGGGATAATATTCAGTTACAACAACATAATATGTAGGTATTGGATTTTGAATACGTAAACATGATCCACTGATGCTAAATATTTATCCTCATCTGAGGCCTGTGCTTACAGGAAAGATGCCAAATTCTGTGCTTCTAAAATAAGAATACCTAATCACTTGCCAGTTTTAAATAATTAACTTAGCTTGATTAGGAGGTAGGAACATAAATGGGAAGGGGGAGGTAGTTAGTGGGGATGTCTAGCTGCATGAAAATATCTCAGGTTGGCCTGATTCACACAACATACAAGGCTAAAATGTGGTTGGCCCAGAAACCGTCTACACCCAGCCAGTTCATTAAAAGATGGTTAAGGAGATCGTGGCTTAGTATGTGGTGTAAACATAGCCACTAAGAAATCAATATCCCCATCTCTTTCTTTCTGTGTGTTTTAAGGTAATAATACTGTTTAAAATTCACCAATCATATTTGGTACCTTTAATTCATGTCTTTAAAGTGGGGAAATATGGTCCTGGTATGTGTGGAGTGATAATTTGGTTTTCACAATAATCGGAACTCCTGACAACACAACACCCCTAAATTTGATTTTTGCAGCAGCTGGAATGCCTCAAGAAACACCGAATGTTGGTGCGACCACAGATGGAATTTACAAACAGCCAAGCCTTTTCTTCTATACACATCCAGAATTCATGGGGAAAGCAAAACCAGAAAACATAATTACTGCTCTTTTCAGGGTCTTCCATTTGACCTTCTGAACAAACCAGGATTAGGCAGCACTGAAATTATTGGTTCCTATGGAAACCTAAATTACAAGAGATATTTGGATTCCTGGGGAGTTGAGAGTTTAAACTGCGAAGGAGAGGGGAATACGCAGAAAATCAAATGTGCTTTATGGAAAAAAGAGTGGGGGAGGAAGGCATAAGCCATATTTTTCTCTGGAAACTGATTCATGCATCATTTTATGAACAACATGATAACGACACTACAATCACATTTGCCACGTAATTTGAAGAACATGGATCTGTGTCAACCAGAATAACTGAATTGGAAAGAACCTTGGAGACTCTATACGACTCTGGTCAAATGGTTGTCCAATCTCTTCTTAAAAACCTCCAGTGATGGAGCCACCACAACTTCCAGAGACAGCCTTTTCCATTAGTTAATTGTTCTCACTGATAGGAAATTTCTCCTTAGTTCTACATTGCTTCTCTCCCTGATTAGTTTCTATCCATTGCTTCTTGTTGTGCCCTCAGGTGCTTTGGAGAATAGATTGACCCCCCTCTTCTTAGATATTGGAAGACTGCTATCATGTCATCTCTAGTCCTTTTCACTAGACTAGACATACCAAATTCCTGCAACTGTTCTTAATATGTTTTAGGCTCCAGGCCCCTAATCATCTCCGTTGCTCTTCTCTGCACTTTTTCCAGAGTCTCAACATCTTTTTTATAATGTGATGACCAAGACAGTGGCTACATTCGCTTATCTAAGCTATGGTTATAAAACATAATGCAGTGTATATATAACATGTTAAAGCCATGATTTCCAATCTGCAATGGATAGGTTTGCACAGTATTTATGAGTGTATGGAATGGTGGCTTGACAGCTTGGGAGCCCCCCCCCCCGAGTGACACAAGTGAAGCCAACAGGGGTGAAAAGAATACAATCCCGTTTCTTTCCACCTTTTCAGAGTGTAAACTGCCACCCGCTTCTGTTTTTATTCTTCCCCTCTTGAGTGAAATCAGGGTGAGCCATTGATGCCGTCATTGTTTTTGAATTGGCAGAAGTGAAAATGATAACAACTTGTCTTCCAACTGCTTTGGTGAGGATTGTGAAGTGGAAATGGGGCCAGGGGACAATTTGGTTTATTTACTCAGAGGTCCCAAAGTCCAGTGTCCATGATCTGGATGATCATGGTTGTCCCAAAAGTGCTTTTTGAAAAGCGACTGGGCTTCTTTGTGTTTTTTTTCTTGACAGCATCTCACTTCTCATTCAAAAAGCTTTCACAGGTCTCACTCAGACTGAAGAAGATATTTGGATGAGAAGGTTTTCAAGAAAAAACCCCAAAAATTCCAGTTGCCTTTTGAAAAGCACCTTTGGGAAACAGTATGGTAACTAAATCAAATTATCCCCTTGCCCTATTTCCACTGTAAAAAGCACTGTGAAGTGGTATACAAGTCTAAGTGCTCTTGCTCTTGCTATCTAAGGTGGGTGACTTCAACTCCTATAATCCTGGGAATTGAAGTCCATCCATCTTAAGGTTGCCAAGGTTGCCAAGTATTGCTGTACTCCGAAGAAACCAGTATTTCTCAAACTCGACAGTTTTAAGACCTGTGGATTTTGGTTCCCAGAATTGAGATCCACGTGTCTTTGTAGCCTGCAATACTGCATTCTAACCACTGCGCCACCGTAGCTCTTAAAGTAGCTCAGGTTGAGAGACATTGAATTACAAACTTGGTTGACAGGGCACAGGGTTGAATGCAGTTGCCTCATTGCAGGCTAGAGTATTTGGCAAACATATTTGTAGCCTTAGGAGGAAAAATCAGCACTACTTACTTTAGCTTCCTCAGCAGAGTCTATGCCGTTTCGTCCCCAGCCTATTGTGCCAGACCCAGACAGCTGGCTCAAACAGCTGAGGTCCCATAAGGACTTACTAGGGCGAGCCCCGGTAGTCTTGGCAGTGGAGAGTCGGTTTCGTTGGACGTTCCTGTAGATATCGCTAAGAGCACTGGGTCCATCAGGAGGTCCCTGCTGGCCCCCTCCAGAATAGTCCACACCCCGCCATGCTGCAAGCTGATTTCGGAGAGATGGTTTGGGAGCAGGGGCAGGCAACATGGGATCTTCAGCAGTAGCTGGCGAAGCTAACACAAGTTCCCACGCACCAGCCTGGCTCTTGGCCACAGGTTGGGGGGCCACCGAACGTCGCTCTGCAATTCGATTGGACAGCTGCACTCCATCCAACACACTGATGTATGGAGTCACATCTGGCCCATTGGTGCTAGGTAGAGGTGCCGCAGAAGCAACCTCGAGGTGAGGGGTCGTCTCCAGAGCTGGCAGGGGGCAGGAAGCTGCGTACAGAGTGCGAAATTCATGGTCAAACACTTTGGTCACTTCTCCCGTAAGGCGAGTGACCAGGTGGCGGTTCAAGCGAGCATCAGTCCAGGTGAAGCTGTTGGGGAAAAAAGAGAATTTTTGACTATGCATTTTAGCCACTTCAGTTTCTGAACTTTCTCATGGAAATACAAGAATAGCTAAACAATTGCTAAACAAATGGTTGTAAGTAGAAAACTAGCTTCATCTAGACTGATTTTGCCCTATCAAAATCATTGCTGTCCAAAGAGATAATAGATAAATATAGAGATGGAAAAGGCATACACGAAAAAAAATATAATTAAGAGAGCATGACAGGAAATTTATCAAATTATGCATGGTACCTCATAAGCTGATTCTTTTTCTCCAGTCACATCAGAGCACTCACTGGAATGATTAAGCAATAGATTCAAGACGAGACAAAGAAATTTTGTGCATGCAAGAAATTCATTTGTAGGATGTATGCCATCATTTGTGGTAATACTGCAGTATTTTTGATTAAGATTGATGGGGTTTTGTCTTCAAGGGCTTAGAACTCCCCTCAGTTTTAATATTGAAAGTAAATTTTTATGACCAAAATACACTTAGCTCTTTTTCACCTAGCTCTGGTCAACCACTCATTGAATTTCAGTAAGATAGAACACAGATCTGACAGATTGAAGTTAGTACGTTCCTACACTAGATGGCTTTTAAATACAATCTTACAAATTCAGCACAATTAAATGAAGCCTCCATGGTCTCTGGCAGTATACCTGTCCTTTGGCATGACCTGCAATACATCTGACCTAAAACTAATGGGCATTAGTCATTTTTTAAAAAAACATGCTTTTTAAAGTTGGCATCCTCCAGCCATTAATTTTCCTTAGCAATTTTTGATGGAATGCTTTTAATTTTGATTTTGAAATCTTAAGATTTGACAGACTTATAAACCACTTCAAGATTCTTTGCAATAAGCAAGAATATAAAAAATACTTCTAATAAATAAACTATAAATAAATAAACCTTTCAACCCCAGTTGCTTGGAGACAACAATCTGGTTACTGTGCTGCCATGCTGGGAAATGTTCACAAAGCATGATATTTGCCACTGTGGGAAACAGGATCTGGCAAAGTTCATCTTGCATTTTCTGAGAGGGATAGGTCAAGCAAACATACTGATATAGTCCTATCATTTTACTGTTAATCTGTTTACGATCAAGGTTCTCTGCTTAAGCTTAAGTGTATTGTGTGAACGCATCCATTCAGTTATGTTGAAAAAGGATGCATTCGTCCATTTCTTGGTTTGCCCTGTACGGTAACCACAAATTGAAGTACAAACAATCCAGAAAAACAAACAAACCAGGATAACAGCAGTGCAAATGCAACTCAAAATCTTTAAGTGGCCCAGTTATTCAAGTCAGGTATATAACGTTTACTGATGCATTTCCCAATCTGGATCTTCTGTATGAAGTATTAGCAGAAAGCAGTTGGGACTGCTGAATGGTAGGGTGGATTAAGTCAGATTCAATTTGTTAGAATTGGATGAAGTTTAGACTTAAGAGACAAGCTTGTCCCACCTTTTATCCCAAGACAAAATCCGCAAGGAAAGATGTTTCTGTAGCCGTATTATAAAGCCACATCTGACCAAACCGTAACAATCTTACTCCACCACAGGAGCACCTATTACCTCATGAAGGAGGGAGAGTCACTGTCAGCCCTCTCTGACCATTAAAACAATTTCTCCCAATGTTCAGTCAAAATCTATTATTTGACTTCTATTTATTGCTTATAAGTAATAGCCTTAATCATTGAGGATCAATGGAGATTAGCTTTGAAGGCCATCTGCTGAGGGACTAGTGGATTTCTTTGTGAAATTGTTAGACCACTGTGAGAACTGACTGCTGGAATAGATGGCAAAGCGTCCAATCCAATAAGGCCCTGCTTGTACTCTTTCACTCTTAATCCTGATCTCCACAATGACAAAAAATGCACTGTGGGTTTACTAGGGGCAATTTGGCTTTTTGACCCAGTGATGTATCGCTAAATCACCAACTGTTGATCTGGTGAGATCGGGAGCAGCCATCTTGGTTAATATCACATTCACAACTGTCGCCTCCCCCCCAAACATTTTAGGAAAAGAGAGGAAACAAGGACAAAATTCACACAGATATATAGGGGCAAAAGAGCGGAGAGTCTGTTTTACCTAAAAAAGGAAAAACCTAAGACAAAACAAATCTGAGCTGCCACACTGGGAAAAATCTTCATTTTATGGGGTCACTTTAGCTTTCTATCTCTGCCAGAAGCTCAGAGACAGGACTGATTTCTTCTAAGTTAGATTACAAAGGAAAAAAGAGATGAGTCACTCAGTAACTAATCTTGCATATTTTAGAAGGGGTTGCTCTCAGTCTTAACTCAGAAACAAATGGGCTACTATGTCGAGATGAAATTCAAGGGTATCTACAGAAAGATGTTTTTAAAAAATCATGACAAGCAAACCCTTATCCTAAAGCACTATTTTGACTTTTTTTTTTTTTTTAACCGTCACTGCAGACACCCCAGCTGACATCTTAGGCCTTTGACTTGATAAGTGTGATGTGAATGTTTCATTTTCTGAGGTAGTCCTTCAGATACTTGAAAACAGCTGATGTGGCCCCTGCTGTTGTTTAATCTTCAGCTCTCTGGGCTAAACATAACCTATTCTAAGTATTTCGTTTCTGTCCGTTGAGCATTTCTTTTGACACAGATACATTTAGTTAGAGGAAGTGTTTTTTTAAAGGAAATTTCTCAAGATGTAATAGACAGATAGCAATCCCGTTTTGCTAGTTTTCGTACAGATTTCCCATGTCTAAGCCCTACTGCCATAACGTTCCCTCTTTAACCAAGATGTAAGAAGAAATAAAAAGCCTTTGGCATCTCTTGCTTGCAGTTTAAAAATCACCATAATGTTTTATTCACATTGTAAAAGCCTAAAACATGCAGAAAAGAACTTTAGCACTACAAAGGCCTACATTTACAGACCAAAGATTTAGTGAGAAATTCCTGTTTCAGCAATAACAGGAAATAATGAGCTGAATGTGCAGATATAAAATAAGGTTTATTTCAGAGGAAGTAACAATCATATAGGCAGAATTCCAAGGGAAGGCATGGCTAATTGCACATTCACTACTCAAACTGAATTTTGTATTTCAGAACAAAATTTCTTCTAGAAAGAGAATGGGTTTGACTTCCTGATTAGATCTTGTTAGGAGAACTTTGATATTTCCACAAAAATACAATAATACCGTGTTTCTCATATAATAAGGCTGGGTCTTATTTTTTTTTGAGCCCCGAAAAAATGGCTAGGCTGTCTTTTCGGGGGTGACTTAATTCCCCCCCCCTTGCATCTTCGGGCGGGTGGGCGGCGACGGCTTGAATGTTGACCTCGGCGTTGGTGGGGCACTTCGTATTGGGGTCAACGCAGGCAGCACCATATCCGGGTGTGCAACAAAAGTACTTCCTAATGGCAAGCCCCACCATTCCCCCCCACTTCACGTTTTAATATAGGCCTTAATTTGGGGGGAGGGGCTTAATTTCATTTCATGCCTATAAAACATGCTGGGACTTCCTATTGGGGGAGGCCATATTGTTGGAGAAACAGGGTATCATTTTAAAGTGTTTTGGCTCCCCGCAAAGATTCTCACTGGTGTTGTCTCAATCATATTATACAATGTTTTCTCTGCCCGGCTGTGATAAAAAAAAAAAAAAATCTAGATTCCCAAAATTCGAGAGGAACAAGAGACATCGTAGTTTAGATAGTTTGTGTGGGAGAAAATGGGTGAAAACAGCTCTTCCTTAATAGTTTCCCAGATTATTTTATTTATATCCTTTTATTATTTTTATAAATAACTCTAGGTAGTGAATATATCTAATTTGTCTTCCTCCTTTACAACAACTCTGACATGAGTTGGGCTGAGATAGGGTGACTGGCCTAAAGTCACCCAACCAGCTTTAATGCTTAAGGAAAAACTAGAACTAGTCTCCTGGTTTCTAGCCTTAATCACTAGACCAAACTAGTTGTATGTTTTATGTAATTATGTTTTAATGTGTAAGCAGTCTGCTTCAGTTTGACAAGATTTCTGTCTTTAGGTGAGGAACAATAAAGGAAATGGCTCTCAGAATCTCGACGTGGTTTTCTTTTTTTGGAGCCCGACAGTGGCCATGAGAAGGGCTTATAAAATGGCAACAGGCCTTTACTCCTTTCCCCACCCATTTCCTCAATTTTGCCACAATCATTTCATCAGCATCGTAAAAAGAAGCCAAAATGCCAATGAATGGGGTACATAGCAGAGCCAGTCCTATCTCAAGATAAGGGGAAGAACAGCAGGGTGTTAGGAAAAGGGCATTTCCCCAGCAGTGAGAATTGACCTCTCTGTGACTCCAGAGGAAACACTGCAAATGTATCTTCTGGAGCAAAACCCGAGTCGGAAATTAATTGACTAAAGCTGCAGAAGTGTTTACAGATCAGAAGATGATTCATGGCCTTCCAGACCAGTCAAATGTGGCTGATTTGTGCAATCAAGGTGAAGTAATCGTGGGGGAGCTTGTTGAAGGCTATTGTACAACTCTGTGAAACCACCTATAGAACCACGTCTCTGATACCGTATGGGTCTATATATGGGCAAATTCTATTTGCCTCCCATCCATAAGGCAGCTGAAATGGTGGCATCTGTCTCCCTTTCTGTGGGTAATCCTAATGAAATTAAAATGTCCCTTCCTTTAATGGACTGTCATTATGATTAAATAAATTCATTATTCTTAAAAAATAAAAAACAAAAAAACCTTCCCCTGAATTAGATCACACAGGACCACATTTTGAATTGAGGAAGTGGGAGATCATTTTTCTACATGCTCAAGCAGGACTAGAAAGCTTTCAAGATCTCTTTCAACTCTATGATTCTAAGATTCTACGATCCAGGTGTAGGCTGCTAGGGGTTCACAGGGGTTCGGGAGAGCCCCTAGCTAAGATTCTGCATAGATTGGAGACCCCCCCCCCCCAACCCCCACTCCTGGCTGGCCCCGCCCACCCCTCCCCTCCCAGGAGTCCCACACAGCCCATTTGGGATGCAGGTAAGTGCAGGGCCATGTACAGAGGCTCAGGGAAGGTGAAAAACGGGCCTCCCGGAAGTTTGGGAAGGCCAGAAATGGGCCCATTTTCGGATTCCAGAGACCCTCCTGAGCCCAGGGAGGCTGTTTTCGCCCTCTCAGAGGCTCAAGGAAAGCCTCCGGAGCCTGGGGAGGGCAAAAACACCCCCCCCACCATGGTGCAGGAGGCTGACTAGGCTACGACCACCATGGCCACACCCAGAGGTGAGATTCAATTTTTTTTAACAACCAGTTCTGTGGACGTGGGCATGGCTTGGTGGTCACATTATTGGCTGGGCGTGGACAACTCAACATCACTCACATTGAAGCACGCATCTCCTCTCCTGGCCTCTCGTGACTGTGGGGATGCTGCAATAGTCGTAAATGTGAAAAATGATCATAAGTCACTTTTTTTCAGTGCCATTGTAACTTTGAATGGTTACTCCACACAAGCAAAGTACCAGCAAAGGAGGGGGGGGGGAAACTCCAGAGACGTTCCTGAGACAGGAAGTCTAGTCCTGCTAAGAATGTGACAAGGGTTAATGGAGAGGCAGTTTCTGTAAGCAACACCAGAATGTTTCCTTCCTGCCTTCCTTATTAGCCCAGTAATTTCTTCTAACAACCGGTTCTCCGAACTGCTTAGAATGTTAACAACCGGTTTTAGCAAATAGGTGCCCACCCTTGGCCACACCCATCCAGCAACTGGGCAGAGAACCCTTAGCTAAAATGTTTGAAGCCCACCCCTGCTATGGTCCCATATTTAGTTATTAGTGCATCCAGATGAAAAGATCCAGGAAACAGTGATGAAAAGACAGGAAGTCATTGCGACTAAGAATTGGAAGACTAAGGCACTACGTAACCTAAAACCATCCCTATCTTTTGGCCCTGATGGATTATGTGCATACTTCTTAAAAAAGCTCTCCTCTGCCATAGCAGAACCCCTAAGCATTATATATGAGATATCATTCAGAGCCAGCTCCTTACCAAACCTATGGTCCTTAGCTACGGTCATCCTTATCTTCAGAAAAGGTGGCCCCAGCCTGGTTGAAAACTACAGACCAATCTCACTGTGTTGCGTCATGTGCAAAGTCATGAAATCAATCATTAACCAATTCATCACCCTTCACTTAGAGTCAAACAACCTACTCTTCAAAAAACTATTTGGTTTTAGGAAAAAAAATATCCTGCAGTCTACAACTCCTACACTGCAAAAACATATGGACTACTCTGCTCTTGATTATGTGTCTGAATAGTCAAACAATTGGTAACTCCAAATCTCGACCAACAAATACTCTGTCCTTCACATTGGTAAAAAAAATCAGTACACCAAATACAAGTTGGTGGATATGACCCTCACTCTGTCAAGGACTTTGAAGTACTCATATCAAATGACCTACAGTGCCAGAGCTCACTGTAACAGCATTGCCAAAAAGGCATTAAGAGTTGTAACTCTAATCTTATGAAACTTCTCCTCCGGAAATATTGAATTGCTAACTAAGGCATACAAAACCTTTGCTAGACCAATACTCAAATGCAGCTCATCTGTCAGGAATCCACACTGTATATTGGACATTAATACAACTGAGCGAGTCCAGAAGTATTTCACAAGAAGAGTACTTCTCTGCTCGCAACAGAATACTCTATGTCACCAGACTTGAAATGTTGGGCTTGGACAACCATGAACTTAGTTGGACTTAAGCATAGTGTTCAAAATTATCTGCTACAATGTCCTACCAGTCAATGATTACTTCAGCTTCAACTCCAACAATACAAGAGCACACAACAAATACAAACTCAATGTAAACCGCTCCAAACTTGATTGCAGAAAGTACGACTTTAGCAACAGAGTGGTCAATGCCCGGAATGCACTACCTGACTCTGTTGTTACATTCTCTAACCCTCCACTCCTTTAACCTTAAACTATCCATTATTGACTTCACCCCATTCCTAAGAGGTCTGTAAGGGGCGTGTATAAGTGCATAATCATGCCTACCGTCCCTGTCCTATTGTCCCCATTTATTCGTACCTATTTCCTGTATTCTTACTCATATTTATACTTATACCTATTATCTTGCAAGCGATTGACAAATCAAATAAATAAATAAATAAAATAAAGTTCAAGCCTTTAACCTGAATCTGAAAGAGGAGTAAATGCACAAACTGACTGACCACAGGAGAAATTCATGGCCCAAATTTGAAGAAGCAGAGCATTGGGATTATTGCAAGCTGGTCTGCATGATTCACTGCCATCAAAAAGCAATGAGGAGAAATTGTGCCTGAACTTGGGAGACAGGAGGGTGGCAGTGTTCCACACAGCAATCTGCTACAACCACCACAGGGAACAAAATGTGATGTGTTAATGGACTCAAAGGACTTGGCGGTAAACATAGAATCTACATATTCTGAATGAATTGTGTTGTTGTCAGAGTATTCCTGGGTTTTCTTTTAGTGTCTTGAATGTGCTGTTTCCATCAGTACAGCAAACCCACCTATAAACATAAATCACCCTAGGTAAGAGAACAATTGACTAGCGGAACGGCTTGCCTTCAGAAGTTGTGAACGCTCCATCACTGGAGGTTTTTAAGAAGAAATTGGACAACCACTGATCTGAAATGCTATAGGGCAGGGGTGTCAAACTGGATTTCAATGTGGGCTGGTCAGTAGGGGGGCGTGGCCTCTTGCAACACCTTGCTGGCCAAAATGGGATGTGGGGACCTCGCATGGCCCCTTGCCCCTTTTTCGGCCCAGACCGCCTCCTACAGCATCCTGCCAGCCAAAATGGGGACACCCTGGAAACAACGAGGGACCGGGCCGTGGTGCCTCTGCCAGTGAAAATGGTGTTCGGGAGGGCCTCGTGCAACTCTATCGAGCTCTGTTTTCTCTGGCAGAGGGTTGCAGGAGGCCGCCACAGCTGGAAGCAGAGCTCGGGAGCCCGTTTTCACTGGCAGAGGCTCAGGACCCCATAAGCACCCCTGACACAAGTGACGTTGAGCTAGCCATGCCCATCCTGGCCCCCCAAAATCAAACACAATCCTGATGCGGCCCTCAATGAAATTGAGTTTGACATCCCTGGTTTAGAGGCCAAGTTAGGAATGAAGAGCAAGAAAACTCTGGATAGAGATCCACAGCTTTTCCTTTCTCCTCCTTCTCCTCCTCCTTGCTCGCCATCTGACCATAGCATTGCTACCAAAAACTACAACTGAAAAAAAAAAAGCTGTGACATAAATGCAATTACAGGCAGTGCTTGACTTATGACCAATCATTACCTATCAAAGTTACAAAACGCCGCCCCCCCCCCCAAAAAAGTATTTACGACTCAGTTCTGAAGTTCTGATGGCAGCAAGTTATGGGACAGCCTTTTGGGCATTTGGCAGCCAGCTTGCATTTACGACCATTTGCAGTGTTCCACAATCACATGACACAATGTATGTTGTTTTGGGCAAAAATCAGTATTTCCCTCCAGTTTTCAGCCAAAATATTTCCTTAGCGAACAATAATGACCGTGGCACTTGCTTAATGACTGCAGATTCATTTAATAATCATGTTGATTCACTTAATGATGGCCGTAAAAAAAGGGGCGAAATCAAGTCGATCACATGAAGACTGCTTTACAACCATCATGACTTAACGACTGTAACGGACAGGCTCCATTAAGGTTGTAAGTGGAGGACTACCTTTATCCTTCACCTAATGCCAGGATACATCACAGACACAAAGATTTAACATTCCAAAAATATCCCAATTATTTTATTGCTTGAAACTTTTTTTAAATCAGAGGAAGCCCGTCAGGAGGCTGATGAGGGCAAACGGAAAGAAAAGGGAAGGCCCTCTCAGGGACTGAGCCCTGTTGCACAAGTTTCCCTTACAGCAGTTGGTCACCAAGCTGTAGGTGACGCCCATGTAGGCAACAGGTTGCTCTTTGCCACAGTTGATGGAGCGGGTACACCCCTTGTTCAGGATGTCTGAAACCCCCAAGGCAACTCCTTCACCCACAAAGCAGTCTTCGTCTTCAGCGCAGCTCATCCTGAGGCCAGGACATATTGTGGAGGAAGTAATTTCGCAAAAGATACAGTCCTTGGAGAGAGTGGAAGGCAGCAAGCAAACCAAGATGCATACCAGGCTAAATTGCAAAGAGCACTTCATCGCAACTCAGGGGAGATGGCGCTTCAGCAGTGTGGACTCTTTATTGCTTAAGAGTGGTACCAGCTAATTTCCTTTTTGTAATGCTGGCATCCTCACGAGCTTGCTAAAGGTTGTGGCTTCAGAGACTTCAGAAATAGTTCAACTTTTCCAGCTTTCAATCAAAATGTCCAAAGGAAAAATATTTGGTTGATGGTATTATGTTTCTGTTCTGCTTTTTACAGCTTCTCTTCATACGGCTTCAACAGGAGATTGCAGTAACTCATCTCTAATATTCTGAGTCTCAGTTGCTTATATCTGGGAAGTCTGCCCAGCATATAATGGCAACTAATCAACAGAAGATATTTGGCTTTAGAAATAAACCAGGATGCCTTGATCTGCACTTCTCAAAGAGCAAGAGTAGTATTTGTTTTTATTTATTAGGAGAAAACTAGACTTATGCACTCTCTAGTTTCAGAAATTCAAGTAAATTTCCACTTTGCTCCTTGGCTAACCTCCAGCAGTGATTTATAAAACCCACCAGATACAGAAGAAAATTTTGGACTGGTACAGGAATTTCCCAGACACTTAATGTCAACTGGTCTTTCTTGAGGTTGATTTTTTATTTAAAGCTACAGAACTGGATCCCAGCTTTTGGCTCTCCACTCTCTCTCACTATTATATTACACAGTGTACAGCCTTGCTACTCTAACCCGCTGAAAAAGTAGAATGAATCTCCAGCAACTGCCTCCTAGAATCTGATAACTGCTTAAGCAATGACATCACAATGGGTGCCAAAAGCTACAGTATTTGGAGGCCTGGGTATAAGGCCACAGGGTGACGTCACAGAGGAGTGATGTCAAATTACATGATATCATATAAGAAAGGAGCAGCACAAAATATACTAGTATTCCCATAGGCAAAAGATTGGATGGAATTTCCTGGTGGGCGGAAGATGAAAAGGAGAGTCAACGGACAATTTCTGAATTCTTAGAAATGGTAGTATTTGAGATCTCAAGAAGAAGAATGGACAGGAAATTGGGAAGTGAAGCTGGGTTCCCTGAACCAAAGAAATGACTGACCAGAGGGTTACTTGGACTAATCTCATAATGGATTTCAATAGATCGCGATCCATTTAGCACAGAGCTCTCTCCAATTCTGCTACCCATATTCACTCATCAACCACGAATGAAGGCAAATATATGTGTCCCGGGATAATGATATGAGATCGATTTTGGATCATTCACCAGGACCAGGGATTTACACTTCTGATTGTAAGAACACAAGTGAGCAGTCAGACGAGGAGACCCGAACTCATCACATTGCAATGAATAAGGACACTCATTTAACTTTGCAATTACTAAGATCGTTGGCCATGCAGGTACAAAGATAGGCAGGGAAATGATTGAAGCCTGGAAAACAGGTCCCTTCTCAGTTAAAAGGAGTGCTGATTTACCATCAGCTTATAAGGTGCTTAGGAGCCAAGGACTTGGCAGCACAAGGAAACGACAGTCAATTGCCAGCCATCAACACACCCATCAGCCAATAGAAAGGCACCACATAAACACAACTCACAGAACAACCCCAAGCACCTACTCCTCTAGAGAGAAGTTCCCTGAAGATGGGCTCCAATATGAGCCCGAAAACTCGGAAGCATAAATCTGTAGTTCTGGTGACCAACCCAGATTCGATCTTGTGTCACTCATCAACCATCTAATTTCTGCTGCGGACAACTAAAAAGCGAACCAGGAAAGACCTCACCAGTTGCATCAAACTTTTCTTCCTCCAGGACTTGTATGACTCCCCAATGAGGGAGGCTTTCGATTAAAACAGCAGAGCTTTGAGCTCACATATGGGTTCTCATTCCCTCCCCCCCCCTTTTTTTTTGGCATACCCAGAGGCACCTAATGTGTGTAAGGCAGGCTGAAATGGAAGACAGGCGGCGTTTTCTCGAATACCATGCTGTCAAAAGCATAACTTCCTGTATTTCTTATCCATTACGCATCTCATTAAAGCCAGAGAGATTCTGCCTTTTGGGAAAGTGACAAAATAATCTGTCACTCAACTTGGCAGACTTCACTGTGAGTAGTTATGGAGAACAGGCAGATCAGTAGCAGAGCTTCCAGCGTGGAAACAGAATGAGAGACAATCACTCCACTGGGTATGTGTGTGCGCACACACAACAGTTCATACCTAATTCAAGGTTTTGGAAGCTCAAGAACAAGACACGCTCGGAAGGAGAGGCAAAGCCCAAAGTCAAATCAAACCATTCCCTTAGGTAGAACTGACCCACCTGCACAGTTCTTATAGAAAAAGAACATTGGAACCATGGAAGAAGAGGTAGCTCGATCCTGCTTGCCAATTTTTGAATGTACTGTTATTTATTACAAGTCCCTTTTCCATTAGCAAGCAACTGAATTAGTGTTTTTTTTAACCCTGGTAACCTTAATTTTGGAAACTGATGTCTACACATCTTAAGACTCATAGAATAACATAGTTGGAAGGGACCTTGGAGGTCATATAGTCCAACCCCCTGCTCGAGTAGGAGAGTCTATTCCAAATATTAACCTCTACAGGTTGAAAAATATGTATCTATACAGACACTCAACTGTGTGATAATGAGTTAATGATAATGAGTTTTTTATCACTTCAATGTGGACTGAGTGATATTATGAAGATGCTTGAAATCACTAGGAGAGAGGTGGCCATTATTGGACCCATGGTAATCATGTTACCTCAGTTCTTAAATTTCATGAATTATCCTGAACCTTCTCCATTCACCTGTACTTTCTGTAGTATCTTTGGAACGTTAGGTCCTGGTGGTTGTTTCTCCTTACAGACTGACATGGGTAAAGAACTTCTGTTTGAAACCTTCATTCAAGCATCGTAGAGCTGTTCAGCATTTATGGTGTCCGCTAATTTCCCCCCATAACTAATACTTGATTACAATATCTTGATGTTCCACAACCTCCTGCAAGGTCATCCAGCAGCCCCTAACCATGGTACAAGATGCCCTGATATTGCTCTGGTCTCTTCCCCAGAACTCAGCTGAGAGAACTAAAGGTCACCCTCAGTTCTCGCAGTTTCAAAGTAATGGTTTTCCTCTTCTTAATTTTTACCATGCGCACAATTTAGGATATTTCATCAATGATGTGGTGGCTAATACAATTAGACCTGGGATCTATTATTGATCACTTGTAGCTACCGTGGGCACGCTTTCTCCAGTCACAGAGCATTGCTTTGTATGAGCTTTTGGCTTGGGAGTGTAGGAAAGAATGGGCACCTGACTTCTGGAAAAGGATCTGTCCTTTTTAATATCTATCTGATACTGTCTTTGCCTTGCATTAAAAAGATAAGGACAGCCACACATGCTCATTTCCTTCCTGAAGCAGGATGGGGCTCAGCCATTGGATAATGCAATTTAGGCTGGAATATTTTTCTGATGATGCAGGGAGTAGGGAAAAGCATGTTAACACGAGCATATGGCTGGTCCATTTCTTTAGGTGTTTCCTGGCCCACGTTGTGGTGTATCAAGATAGTTCTATGGTGCTCTCAATGTTATCTCCCTGTCTCCAAAAACCTAACATCTCAAAATCATAGTGGGAAGAAATATGGTAAGAGTATTTATACACGAGAAATGTAGGCAAATCCAATCATATATGTTTTTATAAAACTAAGATTCCACTCAGAATGGAAAACTGGTGTCCCTTTATTTGAGCCAATGTTTTTAGAGAAAGGCTGGTGAGCCTCTGCACCCTTCAGATGTGGCTGAATTCTAACTCCCATGACTTCAGAAACCTTACGTATCTAGAGGGATACAGTCCCTTTACCCCTATTCCAATAAACCTTGGTGTACCATTCTGACATTATCTATCCCCAAACACAGTGCCATCTGGACAACCCCTTCACTGGGTTGATCCTAGGAGTTAGGATGAGGAGAATATAACCAAAGGCTGAGCAGAAGTGATGAAGATTGAAGAGGGTGGTTAGTTATGTCTTTGGCTAATATGTGTTCTGCCCCAAGTGTCTTGTGTTATTTTCCATTATATCATAATTTATCATCCCATACCACGAAGAGCATCAATTTCCCCTTTGGTTTCATGGCCATAACCATCTTCATGGCAGCCAGCAGAATTTAAAATCATCTCATGCTTATCTGAGCCTGGAAGCAATTTGATCCAAGGAGATTCCCAGAGTTATCTGCATGGATCAACCAACCCAAGGAATCCTCTTTTGGAAAATGTAACCATTCAGCACGAACACCCCATTAGAGCAGAACTCTTTTTGAATTATCATTTTCTTCTATCACACACTATTCCTCATCAATTCCTACAACCAGTCTCTGTTTTGAGCTGTAAATATCTCAATTTGCATTTCTAGTGTCTTGTAATTAATCCCCTATAATTTGCTTTTTGATGAAGCAGTAAACTTACTTAGGTTTTTGAGAAACTTTGGAAAGTTACCAAATTAAGCTGCCTGTTAATTGAGAGTCACACACCTTCCCAAGAGAGAAGAATATTACACAGAGCTTAATGAGTGATCGGATTAATGCTGAGAAAAGCTTCACTTGCTGATTTCAAATACTCTTAAGGGCATAAGGCTGTTCTTGATCAAAAGCTGACATCCTCAGAGAGGCAGTTTGCAGATCTTGCAGCCATAAACTATTTATGATTTTGCCACTTTCTGGATCAGGATCCACAACAACTCCATTTATTGCACAGAAAAGCAAGGAAGAGCTCTTACCTATAGCTGCCGGTGATTGCAATTTGTCCATCAACCAGCAGAAATTTCTCCTTCAGGGTTCCTGTGACCTGTTTTTGGTTTCTGCTTTGGAAGGTACAGCCACTAAGAATTCTGACTCGCAGGTTCTATGCAAGAGAACAGTACAAAAAGGCCTGTTTTATATATATATATATATATATATGAGCAGAGTTGGTCAGTGACATTTCTTCTAGATCAATTCTAGGTCATTGGTTTTTTATATATATATTAAAAAAACCAATGAC